AGGGTGGAATGTTCTGTAAATATCTGTGAGGTCTATCTGGTCCAGTGTATCATTCAAAGCTCTTGTTTCCTTGTTGATTTTCTGCTTAGATGATCTGTCCATTGCAGAGAGTGGAGTATTGAGGTCTCCTACAATTAATGTATTGTTATCAATATGACTCTTTATTTTGGTTAACAGTTGGCTTATGTAGATGGCTGCTCCCATGTTGTGGGCATAGATATTTACAATTGTTAGATCTTCTTGTTGGATAGACCCTTTAAGAATGATATAGTGTCCTTCTGTGTCTCTAATTACAGACTTTAGTTTAAAATCTAATTTGTCTGATATAAGAATTGCTACTACAGGGGCGCCTGGGTGGCTCAGTTGTTAAGCGTCTGCCTTCGGCTCAGGTCATGATCCCAGGGTCCTGGGATCGAGTCCTGCATCGGGCTCCCTGCTCTGCGGGAAGCCTGCTTCTCCCTCTGCCTCTACCCCCCGCTTGTGTTCCCTCTCTCGCTGTCTCTCTGTCAAATAAATAAATAAAATCTTAAAAAAAAAAAATTGCTACTGCAGGTTTCTTTTGAGGTCCACTGGCATGGAAGATGAATCTCCATCCCTTCACTTTCAGTCTGGATGTATCTTTAGGTTCAAAATGAGTCTCTTGTAGACAGCATATGGATGGGTCCTGTCTTTTTATCCAATCTGCAACCCTGTGCCGTTTTATGGGAGCATTTAGGCCATTCACGCTGAGAGTGATTATCAAAAGATATGAATTACTTGTCATCATGTTGCCTGTGAAGACATTGTTTTTATAGATTGTCCCTGTAAATTTCTGTTGTATGTCACTCTTGGGGTCTTTCTCCTTTTATAGAACCCCCCTTAATATTTCATGCAGGGCCGGCTTCGTGGTCACATATTCTTTCAGTGTCTGCCAGTCGTGGAAGCTCTGCATCTCTCCATCCATTCTAAATGACAGCCTTGCCAGATAAAGTATTCTTGGCTGCATGTTCTTCTCATTTAGTACCCTGAATATGTCTTGCCAGACCTTTCTGGCTTGCCAGGTCTCTGTGGACAGGTCTGACGTATTCTGATGTTCCTCCCTCTGTACGTAAGGAATCTCTTCCCCCTAAATGCCCTTAAGATGGTGTCCTTGGTTCTAAGATTTGCAAGTTTTACTATTACATGCCAGGGTGTTGGCCTGTTTTCCTTGATCTTAGGAGGGGTCCTCTCTGCCTCTAGGACGTGAATGTTTGTTTCATTCCCCAGATTAGGGAAGTTCTCAGCTACGATTTGCTCAAATACGTCTTCTAGTCCTCTCTCTCTCTCCACTCCCTCTGGGATTCCAATTATCCTGACATTGGAACGCTTCATGGTGTCACTTATTTCTCTGATTCTATTTTCATGGATTCTGAGTTGTTTTTCCCTGGCCTCCTCCTTTCCCTTTTTATCTATTATATTGTCTTCCAGGCCGCTTATTTGTTCTTCTGCCTCAGTTACCCTAGCTGTTAGATTATCTAGATTGGATTGGATCTCATTGATAGCATTTTTATGTTCTGCCAATTCAGCTTTCATTTCTGCCCTTAGAGACTCTATGTTGCCATTAATTGATTTCTCCATTCTAGCCGTTGTCTTCACAATTGCTAGCCTGAATTCCATCTCTGACATCTTGGTTATATCTGCGTCCATTTGTAAATCTGCAGCATAAGTCATAATCTCTGAGTCTTTTCTGTTTTGGGGGCTCCTCCTCCTAGTTATTCTGTTGATGGGTGTTTGAGGGAATGTATAGAGTCTAAATTATTGACCAGACCCCAAGCAAGATGTGCCTGTTTTCTTGGGACCTTAGGGTTGCTGGCCTCTTGTTTTCCCAGCCTGTCTTCTGCGGGAGGGGCCTGCCGCGCTGTTACTCAGGCAACCCTGTTTGGGCGGAGTTGCCCTGCCCCCCTGTAGCGGGGGATAGGCTCAGCGGGAATCAGTTTTTGGGGCTTTTGTTCTCTGACGGCTTTCCCTGGTGGCTTTCTGCGTCTCTTCCATGAGTCAGAGCAGAAGAGACCATTTCGACCCCTCTGCCTCAGAGCAGAGAGACCGCAGTCTGTTCTTCAGTGAGCCCTCCAGGCCACACTGTCTCCGTTTCTGTCCGTGCTGCTATAAATTGCAGCAGCCTGGGTTGTGCGCCCCTCCGCAGCGCCCCCAGTCCTGCCTCCAGGTCGGGGCTCGTCTCTGCCCTTTGTGCTTCTAAAACCACCAGCCGCTCCCAGTTGCGTGCACGTCCCGCAGCTCCAGGTTTCCACCCCGGGGGCTGCCCTAAAGTCCTTTCCCGACGCTACCGGTCTGCGAGTCTGCGCCCCGTCCGCAGCGCGCGAGGCTGTCACTCACCGGCGGTGTAGGATCCCCACGGCCAGGCACCCTCCCGCCTCCATTTATCCTCCGATTATCTGCCTGCAGGATCACGGCTCTCCGCTTAGTACCTCAAAACCAACCGTCCGCGATATTCTGTTTGTAGAGATCCAGATCTTCTTACATCTCAGGCTGGTTTCGTGGGTGCTCAGAGTGGTCTGGTAGATATCCAGCTCAATTCTGGGGACCAGTTGAACTAGGGTCCCCTACTCCTCTGCCATCTTTTCTCCCCTCCTTGGTCTCTCTTTTGAGGTGAGTTTTTCTGTCTTGTCATTCTGTCCAGAGAAGAATAGATGAACAGACAACAAAATACTAAAATGGCAACAATGACCCCAGTGAAATATACACTACACATATCAGAAGAGACCTGAAACCAAAAACAAAGATAAAAAAAGAGAGAGAATATAATCAGAAAGGTGAACAGAACAGAGCAATACACTGGATCCTGTGTGTGTTTTGGTCTGTTTGTTAGAAAACTAAATCTCAATATTATAAAGATAGAAAAACTTATATATGTACAAGTATAAAATTTAATACAAGGAAAAGATAGAATGTAACTATACAAGTGAACATTAAAAGACAATAAAAATGAAGGAATATAAACAGACAGGTGAACAGAACTATATCCTGAGTGTATTTTGGTTGGTTTGTTAGAAGAAACTACATCTCAAAATTGTAAAGAAAGAAAAATATATACATACAAAAATAAAATGCATTTAAAGGATATAATGTAGCTATGAAGATGAAAACTAAAAAAGACAGTAACAAAAAAAAAAGGACGAAAAAGAAAACACAAAGAGAATATGATCAGACAGGTGAAGAGAACAGAGCCATACACTAGATTCTGGATATATTTCGGTCTGTTAGAAAAAACTGCATTCCTGGGCGCCTGGGTGGCTCAGTTGGTTAAGCAACTGCCTTCGGCTCAGATCATGATCCTGGAGTCCCGGGATCGAGTCCTGCATCGGGCTCCCTGCTCAGCGAGGAGCCTGCTTCTCCCTCTGACCCCCCCCCCCTCATGTACTCTCTCTCATTCTTGCTCTCTCAAATAAATAAATAAATCTTAAAAAAAAAAGAAAAAACTGCATTCCCAATACTGTAAAGAAAGAAAAACCTATATGTACATATACATACACAAATAAAATTAAATACAACGAAAGAATAGAATGTAACTGTAAAAATGAAAATTAAAAAAGATTTTACAAAAAGAGTTGATAAAATAAGAAATTGTTGGAAAATGGAAGGAGAAAAAAATGAAAATTGAAAGACTAAAGAATCCTGGGGAAAAAAAATCATGAATTCTATATCCTATTTTCCACTAGTACCTTGTGATGGGTAAACTCAGTCTTAGCTGATGTTCTTGCTGATGTTCTTGCTGATGTTCTGGGGAAGGGGCCTGTTGCGCTGATTCTCAGGTGTCTTTGCTCTGGGTAGAATTGCACCACCCATGCAGGGGGTCCAGGCTACGTAAGCTGCTCCGGATTGATCTATGAGGCTTTTGTTCCTTGAAGGCTTTCCGCACAGCTTTAGAGGATGAGAATGAAAATGGAGGCCTCCCAATCTCCATCCCCCCGAGCCGAGAGCACGGGGCCCCACTCCTCAGTGTGCCCTCAGGGAAAAGCAGTCAATCACTCCTCTCTCTCTGGTCTCTGGCCGAACTCTGTGCTCACCAGCCTATGACCGATTGTTTCTATCTCAGGCACGTGACCCCATTTTGAGTCTCCAAACCCTGCAGACTCCTGCATGGTGTACCTGGGCTGTTCCTCCCCTGGGGAATGATGGGGGTTACTGTCGTGGTTCTGCCACTCACTGGGCCCCTACTCTGGGAGCACTTGCCTGACTGTGCCCCAGTTCATGGTATATAGCAACCCTGAGCTGAGAGCTCACTCCTGGGCTTGCTGATTGCAGCCGGATTCCCCACTCCGATGCCTGGGAACTCTGCTGCCGTCAGGCAGCCCTGGTCTTCCTGTGACCCTGAGGACCCTGAGACCACACTTTCCCAACTAGTGTTCTGCCCCGCTTCACCACCTGTGTGCCTTGCAGGCAGGGATGTCCCCCACTGAAGCAGACTTCTAAAAGTTCTGATTTGTTCTCCTCTGCTGTATTACGTTCCTGTTCCAGCTGATGGAGGCTCCCTCCTCCCATGGACTATCTTCCCATAGATTGCCTAGGATTCACTTAGCACCTCCTACCTTGCAGAAAGTGGTCACTTTTCTATTTGTAGAGTTGCAGCTATCCTTTTCTTAGATCTCTGGTTGAGTTCACAGGTGTTCAGAATGATATGACAGCTATCTAGCTGAATTCCATGGACTACATGAAACTAAGGTCTACTCTCCCACTATCTTGGACTATCTCCCCTCTGCAAGCAATCTGACTCATCATGTACAGTATTTGCCTTTGGACCGCATTGGAATATTAGCTTCCTCCATTTTCCCCATAGACAGCACAGAAATTGGGCTGGGTTGACTGAGAACAGAGTGTTTGTGGGGCATGGTAAACCTTCACCCCAGAGAAAACTCATATTAATGATGCAGGTGCATGTTGCATATACAAATGTGGAATGCAGTTTGGTCATGATTGCATTTTTGTCATTAATGGAACTTGTTTCTTGATGCTCTTAGGAAGTGATGAGTGATAAAGCAGAGGAGTCCGCTGTTGGGCCTGAAAACCAAATGAAACGTCATGGACAACCCATGAGTCTTCCTCCACCTAAGAGAAAGCTGAGCATGGCGCTGCTGTCAGTGGAACAGGAAGGAGACGGAGCATCCCAGCCCGGGGGCTCAGATATGTCCTTGGAAGATGGTGAGGATGCCTGTCCTCCCCTCCCTGACCCGACCCAGGGCAGCCAGGCCTCTGGCTCCTCCATGCCTCGGGATCAGTTCCTATCAAGGGCACTGGCTTTGGGTGAGGCTGCCATTAATTTCTCAGCCACACTGGACCAGGTGTTCACTCTGTCCTTCCTGGAAACATTTCTGGCTTCCCAAGCTCTGCACTCTACTCGTTTCCTTCTCCTCATTGAATTTGCCTCCGTTCTCCTTTCTGATCTTCCTTCTCTCCTCTTAACACTGTCATCGTTCCTGAGTCCCACTGTTACACTGTCCCTCATCCCACACTGCCTCAGCACTCAGCAAGCTGCCCCACTAGCTTCTGAGCTCACATCCTGCTTTCCCACTTGACCCTGTGTAGCCCATTTGTTCCCGTGCACCCAGAGTGACCACGTCCACACAGATATCAGATCATTATGTGCATATCCTAAAACCCGTCATCAAGTCCCCCGAGCACTCAGAACAATCTGAGCTCCCGATGCTGGTCTCCACGCCCTGCACGGCCTGACCCTGTCATCCTTTCCTACATGTGTCCTCTCCGTGTCCTGCTTGCTCTCTCTGCCTCTGTCCTTTGCTCCTCGGCCCCGGCTCGTCCCCTCCTAGGGGCCCTGCATAGTCCTCCCGGCAGCTGGACCTCCTCCTCTGCATGTGCACAGGCCACCTCTGTCTCCTGCTCCTGGCTCTGCCCAGGGCTCACCTCCTCAGAACTCCCTGCCCGACCATGCAGCATGGAGGCTTCCCCTCCTGCTCTTGTTCATATCCCTGCTGACTTCCTTCCTTCCTAACACAAAGTCAACTGTGTTGATCCCTTTGTTTTTTTACATGTACCATCTGCCTCCCCCATGAGGATATAAGTTCCATAAGGTTAGGGATTGTTTTTGTATGTTCTGTCTATCTGGTTTCCTGCCAATCTCTCAGTTTTTGGCACATGCCTGGCCCAAAGGAGGATGAGTAAATGCAGTAGAGGTGTCAGACTTGGTGTAGAAAAAAATTGATCTCCTGAGACAGAAAAGCCAGATGAGGAAGATCATTTAGTGACTGGGATTTCTAATGATGGAGTGCCAATATCAGGCATCCTGACATCAAGTGACACGTTCAGCTTTTCCCCTTGTAGACGGGATCAAGGGAACATTAAATCATGAGTGCCAGGGCTCTGTGAATGTTTGCTAATTAATTATACTGTCCAAGTCTGTTTCTGTGTGTATGCATACTGACAAGAATAGAAGAGGCCTCTTACATGATTTTTCTGAGATCAAATTTTCAGGTCTTATACATCTATCTGGTATATTTTCCTGCTATGAAATGAAATATTAGAGACTGTGGAACACATGGATGTGAGTGTGGGGTTGTTGAAATGCACGTCATTGCAGCTCCACATTCAATGTGCTTCACAGTATCCACAGGGAGAAAAGGGAAATTGGTTGATCCCCACCTGATGGCTTCTGGTCAAAATCTGTTCCTCCAGACCTTATGAATATGGCAGGAGATGGTGTTCCACACAGTCAGGTGGATTCTTTGTGTCATGACTTAGCCAGTGTCAGCAAGGGGGGGCCGATTCATTCACAAACCTGGTCGTCATGCACTGGTGGGAGGAATCATTCCCAGCTGTCTCTCTGCAGATGACCCCAAGGTCACCGCGATGTCGGGAGATGTGCCCGATAAACTGCCAATACCAGTGGAAATCAGTGCTGAAATGAAACATCAATTAAGGAGGGAAATTCGACGATATGCACAAAGTAAGTAGGATAAGAATTTTTATCAGTGAAACCACAGGAAGTCTTTCCCATTCTATGAATCAGATTAGATTCAACTGACTTCTTGAGGCTCACCCTTTGCTAGAATTGGGTTTTCACATAATTTAGGATGGTTCCTCTTTATTTTGACTGAAATGTCCCAGTAAACCTTTTTTGTTGTTGTTGTTTTTCTTTTGTATTTCTTAACTGGTTCTTGTGTACCAGAGTTCCATTGGTGGATCTGCTCCAGTATCTGAATGTAACCATGAAAAACAGAGGTACTCTATAACGTTCTAGCTCTTGAATGATTGCTGAGACACCAAGATTGAGTTCTACCTCCTCTTTATACTTTAGAAATACTGAAGGTTTTTTCTCTAAATATCTCCAGAATATGAAAGAATCTTCAAATTGCTTGAAGGAGTGCAAGGACCTCGAGAATTGTGGGAAAAAGTTTGTGTTATTGTCCGTCAAGAAAACAGCAAGGTGGGTATAGAGAGAAACTCAGTAGCACAGCAGGGCCAGGGTGGTGCTGGGTGAGGGGTGGGGTCGGGCCCTGCCTAGCATTTCTCAAACCCTGGTCGTCGGTCAGATTTCATGTTGTCTCTGTTGTTATTTAGATTGATATTATCTGAGTCTCACTCACTTTTCCAAGTTCAAGGAGACTTCTTTTTTTTTTTTTTTAAAGATTTTATTCATTTATTTGACAGAGAGAGACACAGCGAGAGAGGGAACACAAGCAGGGGGAGTGGGAGAAGCAGGCTTCCCGCGGAGCAGGGAGCCCGACGCGGGGCTCGATCCCAGGACCCTGGGATCATGACCTGAGCCGAAGGCAGACGCTCAACGACTGAGCCACCCAGGCGCCCTCAAGGAGACTTCTGTTCACACCATAGTTGGAGGTAGGTGTTGACCCTGAACTGACACTCTTTGTATTTGCTGGATTGTTCCTGACCACAATGGTCCATTTTCTATTCCCATGTAGGTTGTAAGCTCCCTTTCTATTCCCCACAGAAACCCCCACATTATGGGTTCTTTGGGTGTCTTTTGGTTAATGACTTCTCTCTTTATTTTCAGATATAAAAGATAAGACTTAATAAGGCACCTGGAGAAGGCAGTAGAAAAATTAGAATCTGACCACCTTCTCAACAAAGATAATCACACCACAAACTTATAATTCTGTCATCAAGTTATCAATATGTAACCAGAACCAGTTTGCTGTCCTATAATGGAAGTGGATATTGTTGATGCCTCATAGCCCATGTTAGTTAAAAATTGTCTTCTTGAGGCTAAGAAAATGCATTGGAACTTTATTGTTATAAATTTATGTTACTAAGTTTGCTTTATCAGTGCATTGAAAAGGATAATTTGTTGTTTGTTTGTTTTCCCCCTGGAGTGTGGGAATGCCATTAAATCATCGGTTTACACTATATCCTAGCTCCTCAGCAGGTCACAGGCCTGTAGCTGGTATTTCTAGCATCTTCTACATTAGCAATTTCTTTTTTAAAATTTTATATTTTTTGTAATCTCTACACCCAATGTGGAGTTCATACTCACAACCCCGAGATCAAGGGTCACGTGCTCCCCTGACTGAGCGAGCCAGCATCCTATACATTCTCCATTTCTTTTCCTTTTGCCTGAGACAGCCCCTCAGCTGGTCATATGGCTTGGCCTGAGGGAATGACTCACAGCTTAATTACCGATGGACCCGACCGTTAGACGTCCTGCCTGAACTGGGTTGTTATAATTTTCCTTTGACTTTAATCACCAGCATGAGAGTGCTGAGAAAAACCCGAACATCGTGAACATAGTCCTCCTCAGGGTCTTGCGTCATTGCAGCCATGCGTCCTTACCAGTCAGGTTCCATCTCCCCACACTGGGCAGGAGCGCCATGTTGGCCTGATGACTGAGGGAGAGGAGCACTCCAGCCTGTACCCTTGACAGAGTCTATTTCCACTTCAGTGGAGTCATTGTTAGGGCTCCTGCGGAAAGCATTTCTTCTTTGGAAAAAGACCTCCAGTGCAGGGAAGCCTGAAATTGTGGGGACGAGAAGCAAAAATTGAATGCTGGCTACATAAGAGTAATAGTGAGAAGCGGCCCTCACATTGCCACCCCTTCATTAATGAAGATGTGAATCGTGGCTATGGGAGAGACAGCTCCTTATACTGGCCAATGAGGTAGAGGACTGACATCCTCTAAATTATATTACCCCGGCCCCTCAAGGTCCTTCTGCCAAGGTAGAACCATAACCGTGGCTTTAAAAGTCCATTCCAGGACTTTTTTGGAACTGTCACTTCAGGATGATGAGGAAGATAATAAATCTACTGAATTCCATAAGCATGAACCCTGAGAACCCTGAGAAGCAATTTCCTTGTTTATAAGTGATGCTGTGTGGAATGACAGTGGATAAGGCATTGTCTAAATCCATGAATGTTGGTTTTCTCAAATATCTATGGGTGGGGAGGAAGGTCCATATCCAGAATCAGTGTCTATTGGAATACAAAGAGCTAGCTTTCCCCGATGCAGAGACCAAAATGATCCGTCTGCCAACTGGCAGTTAGCTGACTGACCACTTGGGGGCGTGGTGCCCTATCAGGTGCTCAGTGTTGGTCTGTGCTGCTGGCCCATGGAGCAGTCGGCAGTATCTGCAACAGGATCAGTCTTGCTGAGTGGAAGTTCCTGTTTCTGGTCCATGCATGATCTGCATCCCTGCTTCCGTGACCATGATGCATCATTACTGCTTGGAAAATGGAGGGGTGCACCTAGGGAGGTATGGGGGTGGTCCTAGGAGCTCAGAGTGCCTCAGCCGAGATACAGCAAGGAAACGGCGACCTCAGTCCTACAACCTTACGAAACCAGACATGCCAATTACATGGAAGGGCTTGGAAGTGGTTTGTCTCTGAATCTCCAGTTAATGACCCAGCATGGCCAACACCTTGAGTTCAATTGCGTGAGACCTTAAGCAGAGAACCCAATCGAGCCTGCCTGTACTTCTGACCTATGGAACTCTTTGATCATACATTTGTGTCATTTCACACTGCTAGATATGGGGTACCTTGTTATGCACTATTAGAAAACTAATATGGATAAGTGCCTGCATATTGGAATGTCCCAACTGAAAACCAGGCATGATGCTTTTTCTTTTCCAGTCAAGTGGTCACAGGGAGCTCCCCATGAGGCCATAGGTTGTAGGGTCAGAGAACTGTCTTCCTCTGGGCCCCACTCCAAGCGAGCCGGTTCTCAGGTCACTTGCCAGGGGGTCATAATACCAGAAAACCATAAATATATGTGTTATCACCAGCACCACGCCAGCCAACTCCTTGCTGTGTCTCTTTTTTCATGGTAAGGAAGTTGAGATTTGTCGACTTGCTGTTCACTGTAGAAGCACAATCTTGTCCTGCCCCAGACTACTAAATCTCTAAACATTTCACTAAGTTGCAATGCTTTTGATTTCACGTGGGAATTATTTCCTACATTGTCTTTCAAGTGTGTTGCCAATGTGTCCATGAGGTTCTACATCTCAGTCAGAATAATGTTATCAATGAAAGGGTTAGTGTGGTTTCCGTTGTCAGGGAAAGGTGATCAAGGTCCCTGAGGAACAGTTTCTGACATTAGCTCAGAGAGTTGATATAGGCCTGAGGTAGGAAGTGATGGTGCCCTTTCCACCTGAAGGCAAACTCTTTCTGGCGATATTTCCTCAAGGAGAAAAAAAGCATTTGCTCAACCAAATAGATACACCAGATGCCCAGGAATTTGTTGATGGCTAACGCAATGGAGCCACAAGTGAAACAGCCATTGTAATAGAGTGAACAACCAACTAAGTTTATAGTTGGCTGTCATTCGCCAAGATCTATAAGTTCTGCACAGCTCAAACAGGTAAGATGAAAGGGACATGTTCAGAATTACCACCATGCATCTTCCAAATTCTTTTTTTTTTTAAGATTTTATTTATTTATTTGACGGAGAGAGAGAGAGTGAGAGAGGGAACACAAGCAGGGCGAGTGGAGGAGGGAGAAGCAGGCTTCCCGCAGAGCAGGGAGCCCGATGCGGGGCTGGATCCCAGGACCCTGGGATCATGACCTGAGCTGAAGGCAGACGCTTAACAACTGAGCCACCCAGGCGCCCCCCATCTTCCAAATTCTTGATGGGGCCACCTCTCACCACTGGGTGGATTAGGGGAAAACCTGAGACCACTGAGAGACTGTACTGAGGTAAAATTCCATTAATGACCTGACTTCCATTGTCCCTCTCTGTGCCTGGTGGACCACAGTGATGCTTTGGGTCTCCTGGAATTAGTGTCGTTCTGATCCAGTATTGAGTAATCATCAAGGATTCTGATTCCTATCTAACCTTTCCACTGTGCACTGTCATGCAGGTACTTGGCCACAGGTCTGTCAGAGGAAGGGTGGGATAACAATAAATATTTGGCAGTGTAGCATGGTCCTTCCTCAAGGGCAAGCCCACAGTAATTTCTGACTGACAGAAGAGAAGAGCCACACAGAGCTCTTGATAGATCCCTGGGCTCCCCCTAGAAAATAGTTACCAGAGTCTTGGTGAATGTCATGTATTCTGGATTTGTTACAGGGAAAGGATTTCATGCAATGGTCCTTGCTCATTCGGCAGTCTCTGTCGGACCACATCCACATTTGGTGCTGGAGCAGGGCAGGAATTCAGGAACAAGAGAGATCAGGAGCAGGCTGGAAGCCACAGACATAAACCTTATGCCCCACAAAGACCTACCGAAGCCCATGCTTGTTCATTGTCCTCCCACCTTGGGGAAGAGAGCATTCTGTAGAGGCCAGGGCCCTCCTGAAAGGACTAACTGCCAAGGCCCTTCACTCTGATTCATGTAAGATGTCTCCTCCTCAGGGAGGCCTTCCCTGACCACTCCGTTAAAACTACTGTCCACCCTTTTGCATCTCTCCATCCATTTCATCTCTGTGCAAAGTACTTACCACTATCTGACAGTTACTTGGCTTGTCTAATGTCTCATGGAAGATCCATGAGAGAAGTGTGTCCAGTTCACTGTTCTTTCACATCTAGATAAGCAGCTGCCACTTAGTTTCCACCAAATACTGAATAAATTATTTCTTTTCTTTTTTTTTTAAGATTTTATTTATTTATTTGTGAGAGAGAGAAAGAGCACAAGAGGGGGGAGCAGGAGAGGGAGAAGCAGACTCCCCACCGAGCAGGGAGCCCGATGCAGGGCTCGATCCCGGGACTCCAGGATCATGACCTGAGCCGAAGGCAGTCGCTTAACCAACTGAGCCACCCAGGCGCCCGAATAAATTATTTCTAATCCTCACAACCAGCCTGGGAGGTTGAAGCTGTCAGGAGCCTCAGTTTGCAGGAGGGGATGTGGAAACACAAAGAGGTTGGGTACATAGCCCCAGGTCATGAGCAAATAAGGGCGGACCTGGACCAATCACACAGAGCCTGGTCTGGCTTGAAGTCAAGTTCTTTCCTCTCTTCCAGTGCTGTCCCCGGACTCCACAGACTCTGGCTGCCCCTGGCCCACAGTCTGATGTTGGTCCCTATTTGTCATCTGACCCTGGATCTGGAACATTGTCTGCTCACTCTCCCTCCCTGACAGGAGCTCCCAGGGGCTGCAGAAAATTTCTGCAACATGGAGTAGATC